TAGGGAACAGTGGTACTTTATATCTATATTCTCGTCGTATTTTCATTATTTACCCCTTCCCTCTTAAATGATTTTTGTGTGGACCCATTTCTATTTTCTTTATTTTCTTTTTTCTTTTTTATGATAAGTTTATTAATTAAAAACAAAAATTATCTTAATAAAATTTCATATAAAGATTTTATCTTTTTCACTAAAAAAAAACCCTAAACCCTAAAACCCTAAAAAAACCAATTGTTATGGATTTGCATGCAATTTTATTAAATTCATATAGAAATTATGGGTTTTTAAGGGGATATTAAATCTTTTTGTTTTTATTTTATTTTTTTAAGGATCTTCATATTAAGAGGGTCGATGAAACATAAAAAAATTCAATTAAATATTAGAAAACAAACAAGGAGGTAATAAGGGTCAATTAATGTTTAATCCAACTAAAATTTCCTTATATTCGATAAGAAAAATAAATGTTACTAATTCAAGGAGACAACTTATTCAAGTGAAAACTAATTCAAAGTCTTCCACTTTGAATTGGACTAAGTTGTGCAAAGTCTTTAAAGTCTCTCAAGTCTTCAATTATGGAAGCAGTAAAGGAAATTTCTCCTGCTTAATTAATGGAGATGGAAGTTTAGGATTACATCAATATGCTTTGTTGACTATAAAACTCTAAGCCATTCGCAAATTACATTAACCAGTAATTTGTTAGGATTCAATATCCTATGTTTGAAAACTAGTCTATATCGAAATGGTTTATAAACTATGAGTGGCGGAGCCACTCTTAGACATGGAGTGGCCTTGGCCTTCCCATATTTTTATCCCTCTTTTATTATATTATATATCATATATAGAATTTGTAATAAACAACTTTGAATTTAAGTTAAAATTTCCTCTAAAACGAATTAGACCTAAGTCAATTAGAAATATTTAGCTATAAACATATAATTATTGAATACTTAGGTGTTTTATATATTTGTATTCTCTACTTCGGTCCTCCCAACTTTACAATTATAGCTCCGCCGAGTTTATAAGGGCAAGATCTACTCATGAACTCGTAGTTATTTGGTATCAGCCATGGCTACACGAGAGTATGAGCACCAGCAGCGGAGCCAACATGGGACTAGTGTGGTCTCAGGCCCCCACTCCACTTTAACATATTTTATTAGACTAGTTTATAATATATTAGATTAGTTTTGGGATATTTACTCTAAAATAAAATAATATATTAGGTTCTTTTGGTCTACAAATTAACCATAAAATTTCTTGATATCTCTTCTACGTACTCATCTCCTTTAAATATTCTAGGTTGTTTTAAGACATTTGCACTAAAACTCCTAAAGTTTTAACCTTTATTTATCTTCCTCTTTTGTTTAAAGCTTTGTGAATTTTTTATTGTCCTCATTTTTTATGTATGACTTGGGTTCCTTAATATTGCGCTTCATGAACTCCTTATTTTTCTATTTAGTTTCTCATTTTATTAAATTCATATAGAAATTATGGGTTTTTAAGGGGATATTAAATCTTTTTGTTTTTATTTTATTTTTTTAAGGATCTTCATATTAAGAGGGTCGATGAAACATAAAAAAATTCAATTAAATATTAGAAAACAAACAAGGAGGTAATAAGGGTCAATTAATGTTTAATCCAACTAAAATTTCCTTATATTCGATAAGAAAAATAAATGTTACTAATTCAAGGAGACAACTTATTCAAGTGAAAACTAATTCAAAGTCTTCCACTTTGAATTGGACTAAGTTGTGCAAAGTCTTTAAAGTCTCTCAAGTCTTCAATTATGGAAGCAGTAAAGGAAATTTCTCCTGCTTAATTAATGGAGATGGAAGTTTAGGATTACATCAATATGCTTTGTTGACTATAAAACTCTAAGCCATTCGCAAATTACATTAACCAGTAATTTGTTAGGATTCAATATCCTATGTTTGAAAACTAGTCTATATCGAAATGGTTTATAAACTATGAGTGGCGGAGCCACTCTTAGACATGGAGTGGCCTTGGCCTTCCCATATTTTTATCCCTCTTTTATTATATTATATATCATATATAGAATTTGTAATAAACAACTTTGAATTTAAGTTAAAATTTCCTCTAAAACGAATTAGACCTAAGTCAATTAGAAATATTTAGCTATAAACATATAATTATTGAATACTTAGGTGTTTTATATATTTGTATTCTCTACTTCGGTCCTCCCAACTTTACAATTATAGCTCCGCCGAGTTTATAAGGGCAAGATCTACTCATGAACTCGTAGTTATTTGGTATCAGCCATGGCTACACGAGAGTATGAGCACCAGCAGCGGAGCCAACATGGGACTAGTGTGGTCTCAGGCCCCCACTCCACTTTAACATATTTTATTAGACTAGTTTATAATATATTAGATTAGTTTTGGGATATTTACTCTAAAATAAAATAATATATTAGGTTCTTTTGGTCTACAAATTAACCATAAAATTTCTTGATATCTCTTCTACGTACTCATCTCCTTTAAATATTCTAGGTTGTTTTAAGACATTTGCACTAAAACTCCTAAAGTTTTAACCTTTATTTATCTTCCTCTTTTGTTTAAAGCTTTGTGAATTTTTTATTGTCCTCATTTTTTATGTATGACTTGGGTTCCTTAATATTGCGCTTCATGAACTCCTTATTTTTCTATTTAGTTTCTCTGTTGGAATATAAATTATTAATTTTTAAGTCTTTAATAGTGTAGATAATGAAATTAGTATTTAATCAATTTAAAATATGAAATTCATAATAATTATGAAGAGAGGACAAATTTTATGAAGCCCCCCTCTAATGTGAAACCTGAGCACCATCCTTGCAAGCCAGTTTTGTAAGTTAACAGAAAAAAATAAATTGTGAAAGCAATATGAAAATTTATATGCCATTGCTTTGCATTAATAAAGCAAACAGTAATTAGTTGAAAGTTTAACATCCCACTAAGCAAGAGTATTTTTGTATTATTTCATTTTAAAAGTGGATAACTCAATGAAAAATGACTTTGATCAATAGTTTACGGTTCGAACCTTTATGACACTTTGTCAATATATGCGAGAAAATATCACTCGTATCAAAATTCTCTTATAAATATCCAATAAAGAAACTGAAAGAAAAAAATCAATTCTTTTTCCTTTGTTCGTACAAATTAGAAAATCAAATTTCGAAGAAGCATTGTTTAGAGAGAAGCGTAGGTAAAGGTAGGTGATGTGGACTAATAATTTATGCCTACCTATTTACTCTATTTTGTTTGGGGGGTTAGTCAAATTTCAATCTGAGATTAAGGCAGATTTGATGTGTGAATTTGAAAGAGGTTGGTTTGTTTCCCCAACCTAAAACAAAATCATTACCCAAAAATAAAACAAAAACAAAAACAAAAACAAAATCATTACAAACTTTCACTTCTGAGAGTTTCTTGAAATGCTCAAAAAACTGTTTAACATGATGATGTTGATTTGTCATTGGCTTTATGCCTTTAATTTAGATTAATAAATTAAACTTTTCCCCCGAATTTATGGCTTTTTAGTTTTTAGTACAAAAATTTGTGTGTTTAAGCGCAAACACCAATGCATCAACCTCAATTTAATTCCTTAAAATGGTAATACCGGCATCGTAATGGAATCTTTTTATTTCCTCCCAAAATTTCCCGCCAAAACTCTGTCATCTCATTGGTGCAATCAGAATGCAGCTACCGGTCCACCTCACAATCAAATGCCAATTTATTTTTTGACTTACTTTTTTTAAATAAATAAAAAAATTAAGAAGAGAAGGTAATGCAGAATCAAATTATTGAAAGACCCCACCCACCAACACTTTCATATTCAACATACTTCTTACTTTTATCCACACAAATTTTGGTAGTTATTTGCTTACATATAAATGATTGTCGATCGTTAATGTATGTGAATTATTTACATAGCAACGATAAATAGTCGTTTACATATATATTAGAGTTACGGAAGCAAAGCTCTTGAAATTTGAACTAAGATAACAAAACAAAATGTGGAAAGAGTCGGAGGGTAAAGCATGAAAAGTTGTAAATTTTATTTGTATTTTGTTAAACTTGAAAATCCGACGAATGCCATATTTTAAGGTCATTTCAAAGACCAACCAAACACTAGGTATGAAAGTTGTTAAGTTAATGTTGAGAGAAAAAATGAAAATCAAACACCCTATTAGATAATATTATATGAGACATGTTATGTGACATTCGTGAGTAACTTCTAATCGTAAATACATGTGAATCCTACAATTGTTCTCACATACATCAATGGTTAGAATAAGTGATGCGCCAATGCCCGTTATCGACCCTAAGCATTCCCCTAAGTAGCACACGTGGAAGCTAATGGAATTTACTTGTTCCCCAAGACCCTTTAAACTAGTATTGTTCAAACTTCCAAGGGGAATCTCCTAAAAACCCCAAACCAGAATAGTCCATGATGACACAAATTTCACAGCGTCCGTTCCCTCTGATTTTTAACCTTCTTTCCACCGGGCTCTGTTATTCTTGCCGCACAGGTGGCTAACGTGTGGACTGCTCTACCCAATCATCACTCCCTCTCTCACTCACATCTCCAAAACTATTTTCAATCGTTTTTTCACGTCCTCCCGCTTCCCTTCTCTCTCTCTCTCTCTCTCTTCAGGTGCCCATTTTGCCTTTCATTCATCACGGGTGTAAAACATCGCGTGATATGTAACCCAGAAAAGATAAAATAAAATATCGCGTGATATCACCGCTTGCGTAAATCGCGGTTTCCGAGGAGGCTGGTGGTGACAGTCGGAGGAGCAATCACGCACTGACACT